TTTGGGATACAAATTCTGAAACAGAGTAGGTATGTTTTCTCTGTTCGTTCTCATGATATTGTCAGAAAGAAATTTTCAGAAACGATTATTTCACATGATTTTACGTAATTTTCATCTATTCGGGGGTGGTTTCCAGGGTGAGTTTTGAGATACAAATTCTGGAACAGGGTTGGTATGTTTCTCTCTCTCATTTTGAATATCCTATCGAATATAGATTTTCAAAAACGATGAGTTAATTTGGTTTTGATTAGTTCTGATGATATTAATCTATATATAGGGGTAGTAGCACCCTATTTGTATGTATACCCCATTTCATCATTATAATCATCATATTGACGCAAAACATTTGGATCGCAATGGTTTCAGTCGATATCTGAATGTTAAAACGGAAGAATCGATGTAATAACATTTTACACCTGTGCGCATATACTATTATTTCGTTTCCGATACGGAGACCGTTTCTATTTTCACACCGGTACTTGATGAATCATTTCTTATTTTGTTCCTCACTTAATGCTTAGTTTCTTATTTTGTTCCTCTCTTAATGCATAGTTTCTTATTTTTTTCCTCACATAATGCACTGAACTTGATAATGAAATTAATAAATATTTGATAATTCGTGAATTCTTCATTTATGATTCATGTAAGTCATATTCAGCTAAGGAATCAAAGACAATCCTTCTTTGGAAATGTATAGTTGTGATGGTTACATATTATTCATTTAGAATTGAACAAGCTCTGGTCACATTTTTTTCCTGAAATTTACATTAATTCTTATAACTGCTCAATGAAGGGGACCCTGTACTTTGGTTTGGCTAGAGAAAATTGTGAATCTGTATTATATAAAAATATTGTTAAAAAACACATCACCTACTCAAATCTTGAAGAAAATGATTTACTCATACTTATTGGCTCAAAAACTGTAGTAAGTATTCATTGTATTCTATTTATATTGAGAAGTACTATTGAAGATAATAATTATGGGATAACATACAAGATGTTTTGTTCAAAAAGCAGTAATTGCTAGTCAAAGAAAGACAAAAGAAAAAGATAATATGGCCTGGATAAAAAACATTTTTAAATCAATACTAAATGAATATGGTGAAGATATATGGCTTTTATGCACTCAAATGCCCTGTAGCACCATAATTGGCTCTACTTGGGGGTATCTGTTCCTTTATATTTCTCAAAAATCTCAAAGGTCACTCTGCATATACAGGGTGAGTCATAATGTGGTCATAACTATTGGGACATGGGCTAAGGGCAGATTATTTGGACCAAAATATGGCGATAGGATCAAATAAATATGCCTCAATAAAATATTGTTGTGGAAAAAGATACAAGATGTTAAAGTTGAATATAAGTGTTCGTTTTTGCTAATAATAATAATACTTAATAATAATTGACTGGTCAAATGATCATGGACTGAGACTGAACCCAACAAAAAGCTGTTTCTTAATTATTGGCTCAAGTGCAATCAGGCATAAATTCTTCCAACATAACTTCACTACTTTACATATTAAAAACAATGAATGAAATGAAATCTAGGACTGATATTTGATTCCAATTTCAATTTTGAATCAGGAAATGGAATATCGTTATCAACTACTATTTGGAGAATTAAAAAAAATCATAGATGATAATAAACCAGCATATTTAGCAGATTTTTTAACTCTACGTCATGAACTAAATACATAACCAGCATAACTTTAGGAATATTATAAGATACAACATCCCACAGCACAATACAACCAAATTTGAATACTGTTTTGCCTATGTATCAATAGAATTTTTGAATACCCAGAATATCTATGTTAGAATTCAGAACAGATCTGTAGCTATAGCTTCAGAAGAATATGGAAAGTCTATCTTATAAGTATTCAGACATGAAATGTGTAAAAACTAAGTCAACATTATACATTTATAAATAAATTAATTCTATTTTATTTTTTTCATATTCGAGTTATTGTTGTTTTCGTTAGTGTTTTATAAATGGTCACTATCTAAATTTTATTACTTGAGCTTTTTAACCATAACACGTGGTGGTATGGAAAAACGTCTCAACGAATGCCACCTTTTGTGTAATATTTTTATGTTTTTGGATGCATACAATAAATGTTCTTTCATTCGATTCTATTTCTGTCAACTAGGGTACTAAATTTTGTTCATAATCGGTAGCAGTAGCTCTATGTTTTATCATGACACAAAATTACGCATTTCCTAACTGGTTAAATAAATATCTATTCCCACCTCAATCAATAAATCGGTATTGAAATTTCGTTCTGAAATAGTTAGTTATTTATGTCCCAAAAATAAAAAATCTGTCTATTATAGTCGAATCTGCAGATTAATAGCCGAGGCTAGCAGGCAGGCAAGACAATAGACAGTTTTTCGTCGCATTTAAAATTTTTTCGTCGACCAGGGATACTTATATCCACACCACGGTCTTATGCAGAAGTAAAGTCTATTGGATTTCGTGAATAACTAATTTGATAACAGGAAATGACAGTTATTGTAAACCTCGATCGCCCCTCCGCCCCTCTCGCACCGTGCCGTAACATAGTGACCACAGCGGACAAAAAGAGTTTGTGAACGAAAAGTTAGTGTTTGCAGACGGACAGTACTAGCCTTCAAAAATAGTCAATATGTTATTCGGTGCCCACTAAGCAAAGCTAAAAGCTATGTTGATGCAAAGTTGAAGCAATAATAACTGAAACGGATGTTCAGCAATATTGCAAAGGTGAAGTTTGATAATATAGCGTTGTAGCAATATCACATGTTGCTGTGAGATTGCTGGACCGTTACATTTAGAAATTCACATTTTCAATATTACTGAAAGTCCGTTTCAGTATTTGCTACAACCTTGCATCAACATAGCTTGCAAATTTGCTTAGTGGGTAATTGTTAGGTATAACATGTATTTTGTTGTGGAGGTCGAGGAAAAACTTATATTTTTCCAACATCAAGTTGAAGAAACGAAAACAAAAACTCCCTGTATCTCCGGAACAAACAACCCAGATAGCACAAAGACATCTTTAAGACATCCTAAAGACATCGTTTTCAGACGTTCACAACGTCTTTAAGACGTCTATGGACGCCTTAGAGACGTCTGAAAGACGTCTTCTATAGGCCGGATGTTAAAAATCACGACGTCTTTAAGATATCTTTATAATGTCTCTTCTGAGTCTTATAAAGGCATAGAAAAGACATGAGAAAGACCTCATTTCTGAATGGATTTCAGGGTTCCTCTGGGGATTAATTAAAGTGGAATTTGGAGAATTTGGATGTTAAAAGTATTATTCAATAACTGTTTTCATTCCTATGTTTTTCAAGTCAAAGTGCCAGTTATGAAGCAAACATGTAGGTACATACAACACAAAAAAATAGTTGATCTTTGTTACATTTATTTGGAAAGTACAACTACCAAGGACAGGTTTGACATTTCCAGAAAAGAAGTTGCTCGTGAAAATTGAGAATATTCATTATGTTTCATATAACTGGTCTCTTCATTTTTTTCTTAAAACAGGGCACCTCATCTACAGGAATACTGATTGTATTAGTCCCTCTGTTGATTGCTTTTTGTGTCAACCAAGCATATACATATCTCTGGAAGATCCCACATTCTTCCTGAAAACAATGATATAGAGGAGTTTCAGGAGTTTACCAATATCATTATTAGGGAGAGTTCTTCATACCTGACACACACAGTGGACTGTAAACATAATAAGGCATAATACTTATTATACTTCAATGCAATCATTTGCATCTATTTGACCAGCCAAAACCAGGTGGCCCGCATTTATGAGCTCAGCTTCATTTTGGAGACACTGAATCACTGAAAAAGTGTAGACAGATTAAAATGCACAGGCTAAATGGCCAAATCATAAGAATTCTTGTTCAATAATGATAAAAACTTACAGGTTATCATTATGTTGGTATAGGTTCTAGGTTCAACATTCCAACTAGAGGTAGGTAGGTGTTCTACTGTTAAACATCAGAGATATTATTGTCCTCAATCAAAACACAATGAACCACTGGAAAACACGGATTTAAAAACTACACAAATATCAAAGCTGAGATTGATTGAGAACTCAAAACGAAATTAACATAAACACACCTCTCAATAAACACCAAAACCAAACAATGTAAAATGTAAACAATCAAATAGTACTGGCATTCGCCGTTCTGGCTCTGGCGCAACGATCTCTCATTCGTTTGACATGGCGGTATTTTCAAATCATCCCACCCGATTTATAAAATAACTTACTCTGAACCAGAGATTAGTCAACCACGGTTGACTTATCTCTGCTCTGAACAATCTATAACCTCTATGTATTACGGTGAAGTTATAAAAATTATGAAATTGAAAATATTCTATTAGCCTGAATCAATATGATCATACCTATATTTTGTATTAAAAGTTCAACGCATATTATGAGAATAGAACCATAACTATATAAGTGTGGAATTCAGGAATTCTGAGAGTGGAGAACGTTCAGATATGACACACTAAAAATTATTATGATCAATACTTATTATAATATACCAAATATCATTATTGCTCATTTGTATTATTACGATGTCTTTAAGACGTATTCAGGACGTGAGAATCAGATATCTTTAAAACGTCTGAATGATGACATCTTGTAGACGTCTTATTCAGGGAGTAAGACGTACAGACTAAGATAGGATATAATTCAGACATCTTAAAGACGTCTTGTGCTATCTGGGAAGTTTACATATACTTTTGTGGTTCCTTGTCATATAGATGACAGTGACTCACCACTTACCACTAGTGCCGCCACGCGGGTGCATTACTTGTAATCAAAGTATTTTTTTTTATTGATCTTTGTCTTTCCTAGTTGGATAAATACCCATTACGAAGTGGATTTCATATATATTTTTTACATATTCAGCTCTCAAGAACCAATCAATCAATATCTCGCTGATTTTCTGGAACAATGCGACTTTAATTTCATATATATTTTTTTCATTTCCAGCTCTCTCAAGAACCAATCAACCAAATAGTTTACCTCGCTGATATTCTGGAACAATGCGACTTCCAGGTCTTCTGGACCAGAATCCATACTCTCCCTGATCTTACCCAGTCGATAACTGGTTTTGTTGACTCCATACGCAAATTTATTTGCCATGTGGTTGGTATAACATACCAAACCATCGAACACAGTCACTTGGCACAGTTGCTGGGGGATGTAGATGACAGTACGTTGAAGTTGTGGATTAAAAAGTATGGGTGGAAAGAGATGGGCAACTTGGTATTTATCTCCAACCAGGATGAAAATATAAAAACGAAGAATATCAATGAAAAGATTGATTTTGACAGTGTTGGTGCTATTATGGCTTCATGTCGCTGATTATGATAAATAAACTTATTATCCCGAAATCTATTTCTTTTAGTTCCTTATACAGTATATATACCTGGAAAGAACTGCTCTAGCAACTGATTTCAAGATATTTTTCTTCTAATGTATCCCAGTTCTAGTTCTATACAATATGAATGAACTCACATTTGAAAACAAATCCCAATGGAATAAATTCGGTAATAAATAAATGGGTGCGTTTTTGAAAAAACGATCGAACATGTCGATTGATATTTTAGAAGCGCATCGATCCTTCCCGAAAAAAATTATATATACACACTGTATTTTATCACATCTTCAACTATTTCGGAAATGTCAAGTGTTTTGAGCCAAATGGAATGAATTCGATAACGAAAAATTAACGGGGGCGTGTTCGAAAATGTATTAAAGCGTTACCACCGATAAAACAAGGCCAGCAGACTCTGACGTAAACAGCTCGTGACGTCGCATACTCAGGCCATCTTCCAAGGCTTTCGCGTAGATCGATCGTCAGTTTGTTTTTGTTTAAGAACGGTGGCGTAGGTAAATCGCGTTTGCTCGAATTCTCTTGTTGTTTATTCATCAAAATAATTGGCAGAGAAATTACCGTTTTGTGATATATTTCGTGTTGTGGTAGGCGAAATAACAATGCCTTACAAGTGTTGTGTTCCCTTTTGTCGGGGGAATTATGTGGGTGGTCCAAAAATTCATGCTTTTAGTTTCCTGTTGGACAAGGAACTATCGAAAAAGTGGGTACATGCAATTCACCGCAAGGATTTTACGACTCCATCTAAGTACAGTAAAGTATGTGAATTGCATTTTACTGAAGATGATATTATTACTTCATCTACTGCAACCGATTCAAAAACTGACAAAACTGTAACAATAGATTTGAAAATTCCTAGGCTCAAAAACGAGATGTTATTCCCACTCATAATTTCCCAACTGTCCATCTTATTTATCGAAAGATGTAAAATTACGCACAAGTCGTGATGAAAAACTTGAGATACTACAGACTAAAAATTTGGCACAAGCCCTTTTATTACCAAAAGTAAAACTGAATTCGAAAATTACCAAAAATCATTTTGCTACACAGAATTTCAAGAATTTCTAGTTGTATTAGAGTCTTTTCAGTTGCCCGAAAAGTGGTTCAAAATTATCGATTTGCAAAAAGTCACATTATTCAAATTGTCTTATTCTCCAGGGCCCGTAATTACATATTCGGTTGTGATTGATTTTGTTTGGAATGTGGAATCATTTTTGTATGACCTAGCGATACAAACATCTCTAAAAGCCAATCTGAAAACACCTTTTATCTCTAATAATATCAATCAAATCAAGGAATTACTAATTGAAATAGATAAAAACGAGATACATAATTCGGGAAAATGTCTTGATAATCAGAAAAAGAGGGTTTTGAAACATATTTCGAATGCATCGGACTCTTTGGTTTCTGACTCAATACATTCTCAAATTTCTTTCTGAAAACGGTCATTTGCCTCGTGGCAATGAATGCAGAATTCATTCCAATGATCAAATTGCAACTATTATATTAACATGTACTACACAAACACTCTACTTAAAAATTACTGTTTCAAGTCTAACGACCAATTGGGTAAAAATTCCAACAACAGGAAATTGAAAACACTCACTGGCTAATTTTGTAGGTAATAGGGAATCTCCAAGATAAATATAGGTAATTAGGTATAACAAACGGCATGTCTATCAAACTAAAATACATTTTCCCCAATTTTCTTTCGATCAATCTCATGATAAGTTTATGTTCTGCGGGCCCTGTATAAGTAGGTTGTGTGAAGTTTACCTCTAATGAGATTGAATCACTACAATTTTTGCCAATATATTTAATTCGAATGGGTTGCTGTAGGTGGGTATTTGTGTTTTATTCTGGTTTTTGCTTTGAAACTTCGTTTTTCCATAATAAAATCGAATGGGATGCGCAGAAGGGCTCAGTTGACGGCTGACATCCTCTTTCAAACGGAAGCCCTTCAAAAAAAAGCAAAACCGGCTCAATAATGATCTAAAACTAAAATAGAAATACGCGGTCGCTTTATATAGCGCTATAAGCGATTGTCGTTTCGAGCCGCTGGTTAGGCCTGACTAAGTGACTTCACCCACGGAGCATGCAGGCCTTGTTTTATCGGTGGTAACGATTAAAGTCGTTTATTTCCTTCATCCTATTAATTTACAACACAAATTTACAATCACAACGTGTGTATAATGATCTGGAGCATCATATAGTGCCCCTAGAGATGTCCCTCCGCGTGACGCAGAGGTGGCTGGTGTTGCCCAAGGGATGTGCGAGAGGATTTGTGGAGTGTTCGTCGCAGCTACCGATCTCCTAGGGCTAAGCCCTTTATAAAGGTAATCTCACTGTGGGGTGTGTGGGGCGGGGGAGTTGCTCAAACGTGATCAGTGCAGGGAGTGTTTCCGGTTTTTGGAGGAAAAATAAAATGCAAAAACAAAAAAACCTCCTTCTAGTTAGGCTCGGACAGCTGGACCTCCACGTTTTCGTGTTTGTACATCTGTCCGACTTCAGTGCCGTGTTTGCTCGTGAGCAGTGGCACTATTTTATTTACTTGTTTGAGAGATAGTGTTGCCTAGTGTTCGAAAATGGGTAAGTATAGAATTTTGAATTGTATATGTAGCTATTCATATTTGTATCCAAAATTATGTAGCGAGCGTCGGTAAGATGTAAGTGGAAAGAAAATAGAATAGAAATAAACAACGATCACTTCTTGTGATTTACTCAGTGAGGATCGAACAACGATGTTACACCTTCAATGAGAATTGTTGTGTGGCATATCAATTTTGATAAATAAAATATCTGATAGTTATCAGGGTATACAGGGACATGAATGAGGCATTCGGGAATTTACCAGTCGGAACGTCCCCTGGAAATATACTAAAGCAGGACATCCCAGGGATGTCCTAATCATATCCTTGTACCGACAGTACACTTTGGCACATAGGAGAGACGTACCTAGAGGATATACTTGGGTTGTTATAGGGTCCTTGATAATTGTGCGGAGTTTTATTTGACTTTTTGAAGTGGGTCAAATCACCCTTGTCTCTGGGATGTAACCATAACCATTCATACGAGCACTGCCGTGTAGAAAGTTATTCGAAGGAATTGAAACAAACATTTGAAATTTTGGTGGCGGAATAATTGAACATTTGGTGGCGGAATATTTGAACATTTGGTGGCGGAACATTTGAAATTTTGGTGACAAAACATCAATCTCCATTTTATTCGAGAAAAATCGCTCATCTTGAATATCCTGATGATCAGGATAATGGAACAATTGAATAAGTTTGCGAAGTTTCGATTTTAATTGACGTTTTGAAATGGGTCAAAATCAAGTTCGAAGATTCCGTTACAAACATATACCTACAATAGTTATTTGTTTAACTAGGCAGCAAAGTAGTAGATTGACTGCCGTGGCTGAATTCATAGCCGAGCGTAGCGAGGCTAGGAATGCAGCTAAGGCAGTCAATCTACTTTGATGCCGAGTTGAACATATAATTTTTCCTCCGATTGTTCATAATGATATATAAATATATATCTCTTTATTTTTCCTGTAATGTTCAATTAAAATAAAATTTGATAGAAATTGCAGTTGTTGGAATGGTTGGTTGCTATGGAAATGTCCATAATAATTATAGTTTGAAAATTCAAGAAATTTCTGACAGTTGTGCGAAAAAATATCGGATTATTTAAATTATTATATAATGGACAGTGATATATAGTGACCAGGAAGTACTTACACCTCCAGAAATGAGGGAGGTGGCAAAAAATATAGAGTTGAATTTGTTGCCGGAGAAGTCTCGGATGAAATATGAAGGAAATTATGAACGATTTATGGATTATTAATTTTGCTGATACATATCAATCAGCAAAGTACACACTTTGCTGCCTAGGCAGCAAAAGTAATACTTTGCTGATTGATATGGGTCAGCAAAATTGATATTTGCTGCCAATCGGGGAAAAATATATTCGTGCCAAAAGCTAAAATACAGGGTGTTTCATAATATATGCGCAGAACTTCAGGATGTGATGATAGCTCGTCCAAAAATAAAAAATAGGAGTTTCTATTATCCTCTAAAATGCATTATTTTCGAAATACAGGGTGTTTGAATTAACAAAAAAACATTTTTTGCGAATGGTACCGTTTATCGCACAGAAAACAGCTTTTATATAGGCATTTTTCGTATTACTAGCTCATATTGAGCTATGTTTTTTTATTTCTTGGAGCGCACGGAAGGAAATTCCTATGATGTTCGTGGAACATATCATACGTACCTAGGGAAGATAGGGAGAGGAGGTAGTTGTTGGAATGTTTTTTGAACTTTTGGAAGTTGTAATAAGTTCTTGAGAATACTTCCTTTGGCAAAGAATTCCGAATCTTCGTCGTTTTATCAACGAACGAGTTTTGGTAGAGTGCTGTGCTATTTCAAAGTAACGACGAAAGGATGTGCTGACTGGGCCTCTCGAGTTGGTCTGACTGGTATTGCTAGTAATGGAATCATAGCAGAGATTTCTGAGGAACATTTCCCGTTGAAGTAACTATAAAACATTGAAAGGTCGACGAACTTTTTACAGTTTTCTAATGAGGTCAATGAGTATGAGTGCGCGGCATCACCCAGACCCGACGAATGGCTCTTCTCAGAATGAAATCTGAGAGCATCAGCATATGTTTATGTGCTGAACCCCAGCATACATAAGAACAGTATTCTGAAACTGGTCGTATATCTGTGCTTTGTAGATCATGAGAAGCTGAGGTGTAAAGTAGATTTTTGTGAAGCAGCTTATTTTTCCATGGACCGGACATATGATTTTGCCAAGAGAGAGTATTGCTGATGGTAATAACAGAGCATATGAATATAGTGCGGTCTTGGTGGGTATGGTACTATATCCGGCATCCTGAGTTCCGCCTTTATAAAGAAAATACAGGCTTTAGTTTTGGTGGCGTTGAATTCAAATAGGTATATAATAGATCTTCATTGACAGCGTTATTGGCCTGC